ATTTCTTCCCAGTTGCCTCTCCTATATTTAGCTATTTTCATTGTCCCTGCGATAAGCAAAATAATGGTTCCCCTAGAGATGTGCATGTCCTAATGCCTGGAACTTGCAATGATGCCACCTTATATATGACAGCAAATGAAACTTTGCTGAAGTGATTTAAGTTAAGCATCTTGAAATGAAGAGGTTCTCCCAAATTATCCAGGTGGATCCACCATAATCATAAAGATCCTTTTAAGAGGGAGGTAGGAGACTCAGAGTCAGAGAAGGAGATGTGCCAAAAAAGGCTGAGGTTGGCTCAGAGTGATTGGATATAGGCAGATCTCCACCAAAGTGATGGCTTTGAAGACAGCTGAAGCAACCTAAGTCAAAAAATGCGTAGCCTCCAGAAGCTGGAAAATGCAAGTGAGTGATTCTCCCCTGGAGCCTCCTGGAAGAATGCCACCCGCTGGCATCTTGAATTTCGCTCAGTGAACCACAGCCGACTTCTGACCTCCAGAACTGTCAGACCACAGATGTGTGCTGCTTTGAGCCATGAAGTAGGTAGCAGCGTGCTGTGGCAGCCATAGGAATCCTATGCAGGAGTCCCCAGAATGTGGTCCTACATCCACTGCTCTTTGTCTAAACCTACTCCTTTGAGGTTTTCCTCCCGTTTGTGACAGACGCACTAATTTATATCTCTGGTTCGCTGTGTGCATTGTTTCCACTTGACATTCGTAGATTTTATTTGTTCACAGAAAAGACCCACAGGTGGGCGTGTGTTTGGCACATTCAAGTAAGAAGTTGGTAGGAAAAGGAGGGGTAACAAGGGCAGTGAAGGAGTTAAGGGGAGACAATTGTGTAGCACCTACCCCCACTGTAGTTCAAAAGCAATCACAAGCCCAGTCAATACACACATAAGTCCTCATATCAAGCACTGGCGCTTTTAGGGTTGTTGTTTACAAAAATGAGATCATGCATATATTAAAACTGGCCTTCTTAAAAACATGCCATGAGAATCTTTACAAGTCAATCATGGAAGTTGGAGTAGGCATATTTTTCTGTGAAGAACCAGTGAGTAAACAGTTTAGTCTTTGTGGGCAAGCATTCTATTAGGTATGAGCTTGGATGTCGTGGGCCCAAATTCATGTATTCGGTAAGAAAAAAATCTGTATGTTCACTGTTAATCATAGTCTAATCATTACAATTCCTCCGCTTATCACTCAGATAATAACATTTTTTTTTTCTTAGTAGGGGGTCACTGTTGCCTAGGCTTGAGTATAGTGGCACAATCCCAGCCTCCACAGCCTCCAGCTCCCGGGCTCAAGTGATCCTCCTCCCTCAGCCTCCCAAGTAGCTGGGACTATAGGTGTGTGCCACCAAACCCAACTCGTTTTTTTTTTTAATTTTTTTGCAGAGACAAGATCTATGTTGCCCAGGCTGCTCTTGAACTCCTGGGCTCAAGCAGTCCTCCTGCCTTGGCCTCCTAAAGTGCTTGTTTTACATGTGTGAGTCACCACACCTGGCCAATACCAAATATTTCAATAGTTCAGGATATCCTTATACTCCTTGAGCAGAGCAACCTCATTATCCTTCAATGTCTGTTTGAAAACGCCAGGTAATCTTTGAACACGTAGAACACAAGGGAGGCTGAATCTTAGCACCACATATTCCCTCCCCTCACTCTCAGAAACAGACCATTAGTGGTTCTCAACAGGGATAATTCTGTCCCTCAAGGGACATCTGTCAACCTCTGAAAATATTTTTGGTTGTCACACTTGGAGATGGGAGGGAGTTACTAGACTCTCATGGGTAGAGGCAAGGGATGCTGCTAAACATCTTACAATGCAATGCATGGGCTAGCCTCATGACCAAGAATTACCCAGCCGCAAAGGTCAATAGTGCTGAGGTTCAGACACTCTATTCTAGATGAACCCCATACAGAAGTTGTAAAACAAGGGTTTGTACTAGCTTGGCAACAATTACTCCAATCTTCCAGTTGGAAGAGCCTCAGAGGAGCTTTCAATCATCTGATTCATGATTCTTTCTCACCTTCTCACCGAGAGTTTCCATTTCTGCATTGTTTCTGGAGCAACAGCTGCTATATTCACTTCACTCCATACAAATACACTTGAGTAGTTGTATTAGTGTTCTCCAGAGAGCTAGAACCAATAGGAGGGAGAGATAGATAGATAGATAGATAGATAGATAGATAGATAGATAGATAGTAAGTAGAAAGACAGTTGTGGAAGCTGAGAAGTACCACGATAGGCCATTTGTAAGCTGGAGAACCAGGGAAGTCAGTAGTTTGGCTCAGTTAAAATACAAAGGCCTCAGGAAAGCCAATGGTGTAATTCTCAACCCAAGGCTGAAGGGCTGAGAATGAACCTGGGAGGAGGGGTGCTGGTGCAAATCTCAGAGTTCAAAGACCGTAGAGCCTGGGGTTTGATGTCCACCAGCTCATGGGTAGCCCAGCTCCAGAAGAGAAAGCAAATTCACCTTTTGTCTGTTTTTTTGTTCTACCCAGGCCCTCAGCCAACTGAAAGGTGCCAGCCTGTACTGAGTGAAGGCCGATCTTTGTTACTCATTCCACGATTCTAATGCCAATCTCTTCTGGAAACGTCCTCACAGACGTACCCAAAAATAATGCTTTACCAGCTATCCAGGCATGTCTTAAGCCAATCAGTTGACACCTAAAATTAACCATCACAGTTGCCATGTTCTTCCAAAACCCACTCATGTTGACAGCTGCTGAAATGCTAAATTTTTCAGACATAAGATAGCAAAATCTATCAGAATCTGGTTTATAACCACTTCAAACCACACAGGGCTTGTAAAATCCCTTTGGCTTCTGACTAACGTATGCATTGGGTTGAAAACCACAATCATTATGCCTTTTACTTCAGACTGCCTCTTATAATATGGGTCATTAGGAACTTGAAGTTATTAACACTCTTACTGAATCAGACTGAAGCAACTCTCCTCCCTCTCTTGCTGACAGACTCTTGCAGTTACTTCCACAATTTTAAAATTAGCAGTGATGAGCCGGGCTCGGTGGCTCAGCCTGTAATCCCGCACCTTTGGGAGGCTGAGGTGAGCGGACTGCCTGAGCCCGCGGGTTTGAGACCCGCCTGGGCAACTTGGCGAGACCTCATCTCTACAATAAATCAAAAAGATTAGCGGGGCGTGGTAGCGCACGCCTGTAATTTCGGCTACCCGGAAGGCTGAGGCGGAAGGATCGCCGGAGCCCAGCAGGTCAAGGCTGCGGTGGCCGGGAGAGGCCACTGCACTCCAGTCTGGGCGACAGAGTGAAACTCCAATTCAAAATAAAATAAAATAAAATAAGCAGTGATGGAGTGATCTTTATCTACCACAACTGTAGATGTCTAGAGAAATGAGTTCCATGTTGCACATCTATCATTTCTCCTTTGAATCATTCTTCCAAATTACCAAGAGTTAGATTCTCAACAGGACTCCACAGAACACTGATGGTCCAACATCCCCCTCCTTGATATTTTCTCTTCTATAGCAGATGCTCTTGGCTTTTTTGTTAGGAGTAGTCATTGGACTTTGGGAAAGAGACAATGATGTTAGTTACATCTTTCTCTTTGACAGTGAATTACAAGGAGAGAGGAAGCAACACCTACAACCCATATGCATCCTTTATTAAGTCCTACCCCATTTCCTCGCAAAAAAGGAACGTTCAGTCCTACCAACACTACACAAGTGTCATTTCTTGGTTAACCTCTTGCAAATAGTGAATTTTAACAAATGTTTAAATATTGTCAATTTGATGAGCGAAATATGTTATCAATTTGTTGAATTTTCATTTCCTTACTAATAATATTCCAGGAACATGGCCTCTGTACACTAAATACCAGTAGAGTCCTTCCCCGAGTCATGACAATCAACAACGCTTCTAGACTCTGCCAATGACTCCAGAAGCGCAAAATCACCCCCTGTCACTGAAGGATGTTGAGGTAGCACCACTCAAAAACAGTCAGTGTTATCTCCGTGACACCCGACTCCTCTTTCCCAGTCTCCTTTCCGGTACTTAAAATTTCAGAAAGCCCCAGGGCATGGTCCTGGGTCTTCTGCTCTCCACTTAAAACTTGCGGTCTTTGCGGTTTTCATCTAGTTCTCCAGCTTTCAATGGCACCTCTATTTGAGATATTTCTGCCACGTAAGTCAAGTGTCTTCCAAGCTTACAAACGTATATTTCTAAGCCACATAAGTCAAGTGTCTTCCAAGCCACCTGGGGAAATGCAGAGTACTGGGATAAGGAACTCAGGGGAGAAAAAAGGGCTCATCGCTGCAGGCGGGTTGCCAGGTCTTGCTTAACCTTCTTGAGCACTGCCTTCGGTGCCAGGGCCCCCTTTTGAGCACCCACACAGCGTGAATTCTCTGGGACGCCCCAATCTACAAGTGACTCAAGCTGCCAGTGCTCCAGTTAAGACCCACGGAGGGAGAGAGGAACGGGCAGGGAGGCGGAGACAGCTGATGAAGGCTGTTGAGTGAGACCCCGAAGAACGGAAGCCGCCAAGTCTGAGCGCTGGCAACGCGACCCTAGCGGCATCAGCCCGATCTCCGAGCGTAGACCTTGGATTATGTAAAACGGCTAATAAACCGTGTCAGAGAGCGCGTTCCCCACCAAAATGACCGTAAGCCAATCGCTGGAGGAAATTCGCGGCCTCCTTTTAAACGACCAGTCAGAGACCGCGATAGCCTAGTATGACACCTGTCAGAACCAATGAAAAACGGAGGCCCCTTAGCCCGCCTCCCGAGCTCCAACCGCGACGAAATCACGCAGAAGAAGTTTTTTAAACAGTACAAATTAGAAGACCAGTCTGCGTCTGGACTATGGGATATTCGGTTTACAAAGACGGATGGGGAGGGCGGGAGAATGTTCTGGAAGCGAGCGTACTCGCACTTCACCACAACCTCGCGAGCGGTACACTCGCAAGGCACTCTTTCGGGCCTCCGCGGGAGGGTACGTGCTGCGCGCTGACGTCACCCGACAGGCCCCGCCCCCGCCAGCCGCCCATATAGTGTAGCCCTGGCGCGCGCGCGCACCATTGTGTGGCTGGACTCGGCCGCCGCTGCGGTGTGAGGTGCGTGTTCGAGTTCTCGCCGTCCCCGCACCCGCACCGCGGCCACTGTTTTGCGGTCCGTAGTTCGACAGCCAGGCCTTGGGCCCCCAGCCCGCCACGGACATGCCGCGCGTCTACATAGGACGCTTGAGCTACAACGTCCGGGAGAAGGACATCCAGCGCTTTTTTAGCGGCTATGGCCGCCTCCTCGAAGTAGACCTCAAAAATGGGTGAGTCGGTCCTGGGCGCCCGCGCCCAGCG